TTAGAGACAGGGTTTCATCATACTGGTCAGGCTGGTCTGGAACTCTTGACCTCAAGTGGTCCGCCCGCCTCGGCCTTCCAAAGCGCTGGGATTACAGGCATGAGCCACCATGCCTGACCTGGCTTGCTTTTAGTTTAGCTGGGCTTTCTCTGAACTCCCTGCTAATAGTTCTTCCCACATTTTCTGGTGGCCTCTCAGTGTAACTTTACTAAAAGTCATATTAATTTATCCATTCCAATTTTTTCTTAGATGAGTGAGAGAAGACTTTTCAGACAATTGCATTAAAGTTTTGTTACAATATCGTATGCAAGGGCCAGCCTGTAGTACAATTCAGAAGTTCATGTTTAGGTTGGGATATTTTATAGGAAAATGTAAGAGCTGGATTATTGTTGCTAGGCCAAATCCAAAGTCACCAGCTGGTGGTCCTGACAGGCAGCTGGGTGGGTGAGTAACTGGTTTCCCAGAAAATGCCTTCCCAGTCTTGTCAGTCTCTACGCAGAAGGAAGTTAGGAATTTATTACACCAGGTAGAAAGGGCTCTGTCCCAAGCCTGGTTTAGTCTTAAGCTTATAGTTCCTGTTTCTTTTGTTTTTCAGATAGAGTCTTACTCTCTCACTCAGGCTGGAGTGCAATGGCGTAATCTCGGCTCACTGCAACTTCCGCCTCCCAGGTTCATGGGATTCTCCTGCCTCAGCCTCCTAAGTAGCTGGGATCACAGGTGCCCACCACCATGCCCGGCTAATTTTTGTACTTTTAGTAGAGACGGGGTTTCGCCATGTTGGCCAGGTTGGTCTTGAACTCCTGACCAAAGGTGATCTGCCTGCCTTGGCCTCCCAAAGTGCTGGGATTACAGGTGTGAACCTCTGTGCCCGGCCCCTCTTGTTTGACCAGACATAGTAACTGCCTTGGTTAAATCCCCTATGTGTCTTGGTTCCGAAGGCCCACCTCGTTGCATTTTTGGTCTAGGAACGTAAGTGAATTTGTTGTCCAGCTCAGCGCTTCCCAATTGGCAAAGGACTTGCCTGGGGATCCCGTCAAAACGCAGCTTCTGGTTCCATGGTTCTGGCCTGGCCTTGAGATTCGGCAGTTCTCACAAGCTCCCAGGCCATTCTGATACTGCTGGTCTGAGGACCACTTCGTCCTTTCTCAGGGATGGTGGGACTTAGGTGTGGCCTGACTTTGCAGAACACATGCATCATCCTGACTCCTACTGGTGCTTATATACACATTGATGTTATTCCTTTAAGCCAGTTTCCGGTATGAGGGAAAGTGTTCCCAACAGCCCCGTTGCGGTCACCATTTCTCGTAGTTTATTCACCTGGGTCTGTATGTCATGCAAGGTGGGTTCTGTGAGGTCTCTTATTTACATAGGTGCAGCAAGAGGCAATGATTAACATCCAAAGACCTCTTTGCTGTTTGCTTAACAACACTGCAATCACATGTTGGGGAAATATAATTTAAAAACAAAATCCCCCAACCCAGAAAGCCTCAGCACTAAGGTAAAAACAAAAGAAAACTATTTTATGATTGAATAAGCATTAAGCCAAAATGCGATGACCATCACAGGGAGCCCCCTGAAAGAACTGCAAAGACAAATCCCCCTCTGGTACAGCTACGCGGATACACCCATGCACCGTGTAAGTGGGTTTTGCCATTTAGAGTCAGGTGACGGCTGAAGTTGCGATCACCTTTCCCCTCCGGAAAACAGTTATCTTCCTTGGTTACAGTTCAAAGGGGTGGCTCAGGTCCTTGGGGAAACATAACTTGAGTTGGGAAACTGCCAGGAGACTCATTTAACCACTTAAAAGATGTATACACTTTTAAAGAGGACTCTGAAAGAAAGGGAGTGGAAGTAAAGGGTCTCTTCCCTTGTTTCCTTTTGGAGATGGAGTCTCGCTCTGTTGCCCAGCCTGGAGTGCAGTGGTGCAATCTGCAACCTCCGCCTCCCAGGTTCAAGTGATTCTCCTACCTCAGCCTCCTGAGTAGCTGGGATGATAGGCACCTGCCATCACTCCCAGCTGATTTTTGTGTATTTAGTATAGATGGGGTTTCACCATGTTGGCCTGGCTAGTCTTGAACTCTTGACCTCAGGTGATCCACCCACCTTGGCCTCCCAAAGTGCTAGGATTACAGGCATGAGCCACCTCGCCTGGCTTTGCCTTGTTTCCAACAGGGATAATTAAGCCTCTAATTTTTGCCCTAACTCTAGTGATTGCTAAAGTCAAAGAATAGACATCCGTCTTGAGAGTTTAAGAGATTCCAGAGCAACAGTATTGTCCTCGATTTTTTGTTCTAACTGCCTTTCATCACTAGTACTCTCTAAGAGCATAAGCCAAAAGCCATGTAAATGCCCCCCTCCCCAGGTTTTCCCTGCAGTGCCCATCGGTGTAGGGCTGCCCATATTTTCTCGAGATTCCCAAACCTCTCTGGTGTGCCTGGCCTGTGGGAAGAGAGATGTACCTACCTGTAAGGCTGGGACTTCGTGGCGTCTCATGGGAAGTACGGTCTTGGTCCCCAATATGACACGCCTGGCATAAAGAAAATGATAGATTGGCCGTATCTAATTAAATTCTGGTAGAGGCCAGGCATGATGGCTCACGCCTATCCCAGCACTTTGGGGGGCCAAGGCGAGTGGATCACCTGAGGTTGGGAGTGTGAGACCAGCCTGACCAACATGGAGAAACCCCGTCTCTACTAAAAATACAAAATTAGCAAGGGGTGGTGCATCATAGCTACTTTGGAGGCTGAGGCAGGAGAATCACTTGAACCCAGGAGGCAGAGGTTGCAGTGAGCTGAGATCTTGTCATTGCACTCCAGCCTGGGCAAGAAGAGTGAAACTCCATCTCAAAAAAAAAAATTTTTTTTTTCAGGTACACCAGAGTTCACAGAAAAATGTGACTCAAGGTTAAGTGGTTAGGATTTGGGGCTTGTATACCATCTTCATGGAGGGGGACTCTTAGGAAGGATGAATGGGCCGGAAGAGAACAGCTGGGATTTATGTGCGTCTTGTGACAACAGCTGTTTAGGTGATTGTTTATCCTGCTAAGTGACCAGTGAGAAGGGTCAATCTCCCTAAAAAGCCCCGGGGAGGGGATTTGTGACAGTTGAATTCTTTTGGGAGGTTCTGTTTTTAAGCAGATAAGTAGAGTTCAGAGAAAAAAAAAATCAGCCTGGATATCAGTTCCTCTACCTCATTTTGCCATGAATCAAGGAAATCACCCTGTACTTCTCCCTGGTCAGGGGACATTGAAATGACTTGGTTCTGGCAGGGCATGGTGGCTCACGCCTGTAATCCCAGCATTTTGGGAGACCAAGGTGGGTGGATCATGAGGTCAGGAGTTTGAAACCAGCCTGGCCAATATGGTGAAACCTCATCTCTACTAAAAATACAAAAATTAGCTGCATGTGGTGGCGTGCGCCTGTAGTCCCAGCTTCTCGGGAGGCTAAGGCAGGAGAATCGCTTGAACCCAGGAAGCAGAGGTTACAGTGAGCTGAGATCGTGCCATTGCACCCCAGCCTAGGCAACAGAGCGAGACTCCGTCTAAAAAAAAAAAAAAAAGAAAAAATTGTGGGAGGCTGAGGCAGGTGGATCATCTGAGGTAGCAAGTTGGAGAGCAGCCTGGCCAGCACAGTGAAACTCCATCTCCAGTAAAAATACAAAAATTAGTCGGGCATGGTGGCGCATGCCTGTAATCCCAGCTACTCGGGGTGAGGCAGGAGAATCACTTGAACCTGGGAGGCAGTGGTTGAGGTGAGCCGAGATCGCAGCATTACACTCCAGCCGGGGCAACAGAACGAGACTCCGTCTCAAAAAAAAAAATTAGCTGGGTGTGGTAGCACCTGTAGTCCCAGTGACTCAGAAAGCTGAAGTGGGAAAATCACTTAAGCCCAGGAAGTTGAGGCTGCAGTGAGCCCTGATGGCGCCACAGCACTCCAGTCTAGGCAACAGAGTGAGACCTCCTTTCTGAAAGGAAGGAAGGAAGGGAAGGAGGGAGGGAGGGCGGGAAGGAGGTAATTATTACTCCAGTCTAGGCAACAGAGTGAGACCTCCTTTCTGAAAGGAAGGAAGGAAGGGAAGGAGGGAGGGAGGGCGGGAAGGAGGTAATTATTACTCCAGTCTAGGCAACAGAGTGAGACCCCATGGAAGGAAGGGAGGAAGGGAGAAAGGTAAATTATTTGGTTCACGGAGAGAGGCAGGTTGTGTTCTCCAGCTCCAGGCTTTTCCTCTCTGCCCAGCTTGCTGCCCCCCCCCATGAATACTTGTATCCGGCCACCAGGGTGGCATTTTGCAGAAAAGCAGTAATTTGCCCATCAGCTAAAAGACTTCACACTTCCCCCATGGGGTGTAATATACCATCAGGTTCACTTAAGGACTGGAGAGAAGCAGCTGATCAATGAAGAGCTTTAGTAACTTCAGAGTCTGGGGCAAATTCGGCCACAGGGGAACCCACAGGGGAAAGAATAAAGAGCCACAAACAAAAACTCACTTCTCCTTAAGAACCACGTAGCCCATGCCAGGCTCCGGGCTCCGGGCTTTACCTTCATCTCACGTAATCCTCAGAAGAGTTTCTGAAGCTGGCATCCTTATCTCCACTTTAAAGACAGGGATGGAGGCCCAGGGACGATCACTTGCCAAGGTCACACAGCTAGTGAGCGTTGGGTTGGAACGAAAAGAAACAGGCCAGGCACGGTGGCTCAGGACTATAATCCCAGCACTCTGGGAGGCCTAGGTGGGTGGATCATGAGGTCAGAATTTCAAGATCAGCTTGGCCAACATGGTGAAACCATGTCTCTACTAAAGACAGGGTTTCTCCTAAACGTTGCAGTGAGCCGAGATGGCGCCGTTGTACTCCAGAAAAAAAGAGTCTCGTTCATGTAGCTTCAAACTAATGAAAAATGTAAAAATATTTAAAAGTATTTTCAGTACAAAAAATCTATTATGTATTTCTGTTCTATGTTATGCCGGTTAATGAAGACAGATGAAAAGGAGAGAGGGAGACAGAGATTGAGAAAGTCCAAGAAAACAGGAAGAGAAGTGAGACAGAGGAGGCCACAGACCACGTCAGAAGATCCCGCCCGCAGCAGGTAGCAGAATCAGTCGTGACCTCCTCGCCCGCCGAGGGGCTCGGGGATTCCCCGTGACTTAAAGGTGCCCTCCTTGACTTTCTTGCTGACGACAATGTAGCCTGCTCCACAGGGGCAATTTAGAGGTTTCCCACGTGCTGAGCTGGTTTTCAAGCTTCATTTGGAGCTTGCTGACACGATCACAGACACCTGGAAGTCCCTTTGAGAAAGGAGCTATGCTGGCTGGTTTTAGCCCACAGTCTCTGAACACAATTTGGTATTGACTATGTGTCTATCTGTCTGTCTATCTATCTATCTATCTGTCTATCTATCTGTCTATCTATCTATCATCTATCTATCTATCTATCTATCATCTACCTATCTATTTAAAAACAGGATGGGGTCTCACTATGTTGCCCAGGCTGGTCTCAAACTCCTGGACTCCGGTGATCCTCCTGCCTCTGTCTCCCAAAGTGTTAGAAGTACAGGTGTGAGCCACCACTCCCAGCTGGTGTAAATGTTTGTGTCAGTTTTCAGCCCCCTGTTCCATGTGCCGCCATACACATGCACACACACGCACACGCGCGCACACACACACACACACACACAGATTTACATTCTCCCCATCTGAGTGGCTTTCCTCCAACTGGGTGAGTGTGCAGTGGTGCCATATAAATGTGCTCAATAAAGCCCATGGTGATGACGCAGCTCGGCGTTGTCTGAGCTCCTCCACTGTCCTCATCTGGAGTCCTGAGTTTCTGTGTTAAAAGTGGTTGTCATAACCCAAGCCCATTAGGCAGGAAGGCCTTGCTCCTGACCTGGGTGTAGTGCGTCTCCTCTAGACAGGTGGGAGGCAGCAGCGCCATGCTTTGTGTAGGTCCTTCCCACAGGCAACCAAAACAGAGGGCGAGAGGGATGGGACCCCAGCATAGAGGATGAATGTTTAGGCCGGGTGTGGTGGCTCAGGCCTGTAATCCCAGCACTTTGGGAGTGGAGGCAGGCAAACCGCTTGCGGGTCAGGAGTTAGAGAACAGCCTGGGCAGGATGGCAAAACCCTGTCTCTACCAAAAATACAAAAATATTAGCCAGTCATGGTGGTGCATGCCTGTAGTCCCAGCCACTCAGGAGGCCAAGGCAGGAGGATCACTTGAACCTGGGAGGCAGAGATTGCAGTGAGCCGAGATCCCACCACTGCACTCCAGCATGGCCGACAGAGCCACACTCTGTCTCAAAAAAACACAAAGAAAAGAAGAAAGGAACAGATGACATGTAGATATACATTCATCTCCATCTAAAAAAAAAAAAAAAAAAAGGTGAATGTATATCTACATGTCATCATGTCACCTGTTTCTTATTATTTCTTTTGAGACAAGAGTGTCACTGCGTTGCCCAGGCTGGAGTGGCATGATCTCTGCCCACTGCAACATCTGCCTCCCGCCTCGGCTGGAATTACAGGCGTGTGCCACCATGCCCAGCTAATTTTTGTATAAGTTTCACCATGTTGGCCAGGCTGGTCTGAAACTCCTGACCTCAGGTGATCCTGCCCCTCGGCCTCCCAAAGTGCTGGGATTACTGG